GCTCCTACAACACATTCCTGCCCTTTTCCAGGTGGTTGCAACTTCAGCATCGCTGGAATTTGGGAGTTTGTCTTTGTGCCCCTCCAACATGTGGTCGGTGGCACCTCTCCTTTCCGAAGGAAGTTTGGGAAACCCGCCCTGCCAGAGGCTCCTTTGATCTGCCCTTGGCCCTGCATTAGCCCTGACACCACGGGCTTTGCCTCCAGCAGGAGAGGGCACAGGGAATTCCCCCCGGGAATGCTGAGACGTGTTAATAACTTGGAGGCTCCCGGTAAATGGAGCCCGTGACCTTTGGCTCCTGCTCCTGCTCCACCTGACAAAGGGGCCACGGTACAAAGCTGGGATTGACAGGAGAAACAAAAGCAATCCCTGAGGTTTCCTCGCTGCTGGGGGATGTTGGGATGCTGCTGTTGGAGTTCCTGCTGGGCTGGGAACGGGCACTGCCCGCCCGTGTCCTCCTCCCACTTCCCAAATTTCTGTGCCTGTTTAATGCTGGCCCAGTGCATCTGCTCCAAGTGCTGCTCCAGCAGGGCCTGATGCTCGGGAAGGCAGGACTGAGCCTCCTCCAACAGGGATTCTGTGCCCACAGCAGCTCCTGGAACTGCTCATCCTTCCCATATTCCGGCATCACTCAGTCAGCTCCTTTTCTGAAGTTATTCCGGCCCTTCCTTGTGCTGCTGCCTGGGAATTACAATGAAATCCCTCAAACTGGGCCATTCACTTCAGAGTTGGGCTCTGTGGGTCCCTTCCAGTTCTGAATATTCCTTGATCCTGTGAAATTCCCGGGAGAAATGGCAAACACTGCTGCCTATCCTCATCCCTGAGCAAAGCCACGACCGGAATTCCAGGAGAAACTCATGTCCTGCTGCCTTTTCCCAAGGAAAAGCCCAGCTGCACAACCCCCCTGCCACACTGCACTGCCCAACAGGTTCCTCCAACATTTCCTTTTTCCCTGATGTTTAGAAGTTGGCTTTTCCAAGCTAAATGGTTCCACTGTCTGCTTCCCAGTTGGACGCAGAGGAGCAGGACCAGCAGCTCCCAAGAACTTAAACCCAAAGCCAGCAGCCAAAATCTCTGTGTGGGTCCCTTTTAGATCATCACTGATCCCAGGGAGTTTATTTTCCTCCTGCTATCCCACTTCATGACCCAGAAGGACCCCTTGGCTCCTTCTCCCGGGGTTTTGACGTGTCCATTTGGGTTTTGTAAACCATGGAAGAGAAATCAAAGGCAGAAGGGAGGAGAAGAAACCAGCAAATGGGTTTTCCTGGGCTCAATGCTTATGGGAAGGGCTCTCAAAGAAGGATTTAGTCAGAGATAAGTTAAAAAAACAATTCTAACATAAACCTCAAATCTCATCATGCCACTCCCCCCAGGCTGTCCATCATATCCCAGGAAAAACCAGATCCCAGTCCACTCCAGCAGAGAACACAAGGGTTAAATACAGCCAGAGCAACCAAATCCAACCCTCTTTTGGATCTAGGGATGGTAAAAAAGACACCTGAGGAGATGCAAAGCCAAGGGGTGGGAAAACTGGGAAGGGGGTGG